TGTTAATATACAGTGTTTGTCTTTCTCTTTCTGATTTAGTTCACTCTGTTCATACACCTCATTAGAATTGACTCAAATGTGTTCCTTTTTATAGCTGAGTAATATTCCGTTTTATGTATGCACCACAGCTTCCTTATCCATTCATCTGCCAGTGGACATCTAGGTTGCTTTCATGTCCTAGCTATTGTAAACAGTACTGCAGTGAACATTGGGGTACATGTGTCTCTTTCAATTCTGTTTTCCTCAGGGTATATGCCCAGCAGTGGGATTGCTGGGTTGTATGGCAATTCTATTCCCAGTTTTTTAAGGAATCTCCACACTGTTCTCCACAGTGGCTGTACCAGTTTGCATTCCCACCAACAACGTAAGAGAGGGTTCCCCTTTCTCTACACCCTCTCCAGCATTTATTGTTTATAGACTTTTTGATGATGGCCATTCTGACTGGTGTGAGATGATACCTCATTGTCATTTTGATTTGCATGTCTCTAATAATGAGTGATGTTGAACATCTTTCAATGTGTTTATTATGTCTTCTTTGGAGAAATGTCTGTTTAGGCCTTTTGCCCACTTTTTGATTGGATTGTTCATTTTTCTGGTATTGATAGCTGCATGAGCTGCTTGTATATTTTGGAGATTAATTCTTTGTCAGTTGCTTCATTTGCTATTATTTTCTCCCATTCTGAAGGCTGCCTTTTCACCTTGCTTATAGTTTCCTTATTGTGCAAAAGCTTTTAACTTTAATTAGGTCTGATTTGTTTATTTTTGTTTTTATTTCCATTATTCTGGGAGGTGAGTCATAGAGGATCTTGCTGTGATTTATGTCGGAGAGTGTTCTGCCTATGTTTTCCTCTAAGAGTTTTATAGTTTCTGGTCTTACATTTAGGTCTTTAATCCATTTCGAGTTTATTTTTGTGTATGGTGTTAGAAAGTGTCCTAGTTTCATTTTTTATACATAGTTGACCAACTGACTACTTTTCTATTGTGATACCTATCATGAAGTCAGTGAATATAATTAGCAACCCTCAGACTCAAACTTGGGGTTTCCCTGGTGACTCAGATGGCAAAGTATCCTCCTGCGATGCAGGTAGACCTGGGTTCCATCCATGGGTTGGAGGAGGGCATGGCAACCCACTCCAGTATTCTTGCCTGGAGAATCTCATGGACAGAGGAGCCTGGCAGGCTACAGTCCATGGGGTCGCAAAGAGTCAGACACAACTGAACGACTAAGTACAGCACAGCACAGACTCAAATTTACTTATTTCCCCAGGGGAGCTGAGACAGAGCCACAGAGAGAATCCTATATTAATATATTCTGCTACTTAAGCAAGATGGTATCCTACTCCATTCTGGTCCATCATTTGGCAGTAATGAAGATCATACCCTTGACTTTGCAGAGGGGTCCCTAGAGAATCTCTTATTCTCTTCCCCAAACAGTGTTAAGCATTACACTCAGCAGCCCTCTGGATCCCTGGGTCCTGCATTTGCAGAATCAACTAACTGCTGATCAAAAATACTCAGGAAAAAAAAAAAAAAGTAGAACCAATTCCAGAAAAGTAAAACTGGAATTTGCCACACACCAGCAACTATTTACATGGTATTTACATAGCATTAGGTATTATGAGTAATCTAGAGATGATTTAAAGTATCTAGCTGGCCAATTCATGTTGATGTATGGCAAAAACCATCACAGTATTGTGAAGTAATTATCCTCTAATTAAAAATTAAAATTAAAAAAAGTATATGAGAGGATGTGTGTAAGTGAAATGAAGTCCCTCAGTCGTGTCTGACTCTTTGTGACCCCATGGACTGTAGCCTATCAGGCTCCTCCGTCCATGCGATTTTCCAAGCAAGAGTACTGGAGTGGGCTGCCATTTCCTTCTCCAGGGGATCTTCCCAACCCAGGGATCAAACCCAGGTCTCCCACATTGCAGGCAGACGCTTTACGTTCTGAGCCGTCAGAGAAGCCCAAATTCTACAAATACTACACTATTCATGTAAGGGATTGAGCATCCATGGATTTTGGTATCTTCAAGGGTCCTAGAACCCATCCCTCTTGAATACAGAGGGATAAATGTATTCATATGGTGGTTGCCATGACTTACAGTTTCCACTTGTGAGATTTCTTCTCTCCCTAACCCATGTCCAGGTGTGTCTGAATCAAAATGCTCGTGGTAATCAGACAGGGTGATTCTCCTCCTCCCCCCTCCCTGCCAGGGCACATGGAACAAAGTCTGAAGATAGTTTTGGTTGTCAGAACTTAGGGTGACTCAAGGTGGGGCTGCTACTAGGATCTAGTGGGCAGATGTCTGGGATGTTACTAAACAGTACACCCAACAAAGAATTATCTGGCTCCAAATGTGTATAGTGCTGAGCTTGAGACATGCTGGGAATTGATGAACCCAGGTTTTTCCCATAAGAGGATGAATTCCTCAAATTGTCAGTGACAGAAAATACATTGTCAGCCAAATGCAAAAATATTACATTATAGCAAGTTGGCATCACCTCTGGGCTGAGAGAAACTGTTCACAAAAATATTTAAGCAGTACATGTTTTAGTCATTGCAGTGTGTAAAACTGTCTTTAGGAACATGGACACAGTGTGACTTGCTTAAGTAGAAAAGAAAAAAGTCCCAATTTCCAGTCCTATCTGTTTCCCATAAGAGTGGAAAAATCACTAATTGTGTATTAAATGGTTAAGTCAGGGCATGTGTGCTAAGTCACTTCAGTAGTGTCTTGACTCTTTGTGACCCCATGGACCGCAGCCTGCCCGGCTCCTCTGTCCAATCCAGAACAATTAAAACTTCCACATTGACCAAAGGTCTCCCAGGACACCCATGTTGTGATTTGACTGAAATCTGATTATTAGAATTGCTGAGTCAGTATACATCACGAACAATTTCAGTGGCTTCCATTCAGGAGACCATTTTCCCTCAGAAAAATGTAATTCACTAGCACTTGAGAAAGAGATATTCTTCAAGTTGATTCAGTCATATTTACTTAGGACATAAAATAAATAAAGTTTCAATGATCCTGTACCAAATAAGATTGTACCAGCAGACTTGCTGAAGTCATTAATGAGAAGGGGTGAAATAACTTCTAGGAGAATAATCAGAGTTCAACAGAGAAGTAAAAACACCATGCATAGTGTAAAGGGTTTATTATGGGGCTTATTGTGGGGATGGTGGAGCAGGTCATGTAAGGCTGTTTTCTCTGCGTCTAGTGTTGAGCTGGCAGTTTAGCCAGGCCAGCGATTGGAGGTGAGCTGGGCATAGATGAGACCAAAGACAAATGAGAAGCTGGATCTGTCTCTTTCAGCCTCCAGCCCCAGTACTGTGGGTAGCCTTCAGGAGAAGCTGGTTTTGCCATGGCGCTGCGTGTGTGCTTGTCCCAGAGAAGCTGAGGAGGGAAGCTGTCAGGAGATGCAGTGCCATGGCAAAACCAGCTTCTGAAGGCTACCCAAAGCACTGAGTACTGCCCCTGGCTGACAAGGTGGACCAGCAGGTCAGTGGCAGCTCTCCTGGCACTCTACAGCAGGCTGTAGATATAGCAGCTAAAATAGCTGCTGCTTAACTTCTTTTTTAAAAAGATTAACTTATTTAAATTGGAGGATAATTGCTTTATAATATTGTGATGGTTTTTGCCATACATCGACATGAATGGGCCACAGGTACACATGTGTCCCCCCATCCTGAACCCCCCTCCCACTTCCCTCCCTACCCCATTCCTCTAGGTTGTCCCAGAGCACTGGCTTTGAGTGCCCTGCTTCATGCATCGAACTTGCACTGGTCATCTATTTTACATATGGTATATACATGTTTCAATGCTATTCTCTCAAATCATCCCACCCTTGCCTTCTTCCAGAGTCCAAAAGTCTGTTCTTTTTTGGAAACTAAATATATTTTAATAAAAACCAAAATACAAAATAACTATTTTCAGAAAACAGAAATATTTAATCCTTTGCCCACAAATTAGAAGTCGCTTCATCCCCAGAACATAGTTTTCGATACATGTGTTTGTACCTAAGATTTGTTTCACAGACTATTCATTAAACTGCTATTGCAAAGCAGAAGTGGGCGGGACCATCTCAGGAGGAAAAGATGTAGGAAAAGCCACACCTCAGAATCATTTGGAAATTCAACATTTTCTAATTTTATCTTTTGACTTCTCACTGCTAAGTATTTTCATTTCTTTACCACAATCTGTCCTTTCAAGAGACAGAATTGTTAATAGAAGTGCAGACACGAAAAGAATCTTTCTTTCCCACCCCTGCTGCAAAAGCCCAAGACTTTCTCAAACAAACCCACCCACCCCCTTCCTGAAACATGTCATCCAGAGTGATCCATCTGTCACCCAGAAATTTTCCCTTTCCCCCAATACACTATGCGACCAAGTTCTGTGACTTCCCGGCACCACTAAATTCCAAGTATCACAGCCAGCGCCAGAAGTAAAACCTGAAAGATGAGAGCAGCAAAGGACCCCTCTGCCAGTGCTAGGTTTCTTCTCAAGAATAATTATAACAGTAATCATAAAAAAAAAAAAAAAAAACCACCCTGGTTCTCTGTAATCAGGGAAAAAGAAAGGCATTTGCCAGGATGACCTTGCCTCCTTCCTACATCCCACCCCTGCATTCCTACCGGGATGGAGTTCCTTCCACCCAGTACCCCTGCAGCACTGCTCCTGGCAAGGGCATCTGGCAAACATCCTCCAGCCAAGTGCAGCCCTGGCAAGGCGAGGACACCTTGGCACCAAAGACAAGAAGGGGCCGCTGGAGGACACAGCGGCATCTCCAGGATTTCCGATCCCCCGTTTGTTCCCCGTTACCACCCTGCCTCCCCCTGTCCTTCCACACCTGGGGGCTGAATGAAGGGTGGTGGCTTTGGGCCATCTGCGGGGCAAGGGGGGACACGGGGAGTCTTAAAGTCAGTGAGCCCATCGGTCTGTCCTAAGACTTGCTGTCTGGAAGCGTTCGCACTGCCCAGGCCGTTACCTCAAAGGTACAAATCAGTGTTCCTGCTTTTCTTCTGTGATTCCAGTCACCAGCAGGAGGTTGCAGGTCATGAACTGCACATTCAGCACAGTGTTCATCTGGCTGGTGTAAACGCCCAGGAGCTCACTGGACGAGCCATCGGCGGGCGTGCTGCTCTGCTTGCTGTTGATGTCCCAGATACGCACTGAGTTATCCATGGATGCTGACGCGATCAGGCTGCTGTCCGGGTTGAAGGTGACACTGGTGATGTCATTCGTGTGGCCCCGTAGCTCTTTGTAAAGGGTCCCAGACGCCAGGTCCCACAGCTTCAGCAGCTGGTCTTCGCCCGCCGACACCAGGTACTTACCGTCGGGGGAAAAGGCCAAGCAGCGCACGGGGCCTTGGTGGCCCGTGAAGAGTCTCAGCGAGTTCCCCTGCTGGGCACTCCACAGCCGCACCGTCTTGTCTGTCGAGCCCGTGGCTAAATAGTTTGAATTGGGGTGGAACTTAACACAGTCCACATCCGCCAGGTGCCCGGCGTAGATTCGCAGTGGGTACGTCCGATCAAACGACCACAGCTTCGCCGTGCGGTCACGGGATGCACTGGCAAAGAACAGGTTGTGCGGGCTGATGTCCAGGTCCCACACGGGGTAGGTGTGGCCCTGGTACAGCACGGTGTTCGTGAAGCTCTCCAGGTCCCAGTACCTGATGGACGTGTCCTCAGAGCAGGAGAGCAGCGCGGAGCTGTCCGGGAGGAACCTGGTGCCGTACACCGGGCCGCGGTGTCCCTGCAGGACCTTCAGCTCCTTGGCTGCCTTGTCCTCATCGTCGTCCTCGGGGATATCATAAGTCAAGTCGATGCGGGACTCGTCTACTTGATGGGGGTTGGGTTTAAACTTCTTGGAAGTCAGACTCCACAGTTTTATACAGGAGTTGTCAAAGCCCGCGGCGAGCAGCTTTCTGTCTGGGGAGGCCTCCGCCGTATTCAGCTGCTGCGCAGTGTTGTAGAAGGCGTAGGAGTAGATGGTGATGAGGGAGGGGGGGCCATCCTGGACGCACTTGATGGTCTCCTGAAGGATGTCCAGCTCCTCCTCCTTCTGTAGGATGTACTTGGGCAGGTCGGTGGACTCCAGGCCGCCGCCCTGGCTGCTGGAGGGGCCGGCGCTGGAGGGGCCGGCGCTGGAGGGGCCGGCGCTGGAGGGGTCGGCGCTGGAGGGGCCGGCGCTGGAGGGGTCGGCGCTGGAGGGGCCGGCGCTGGAGGGGTCGCCACTGGAGGGGTCACCGCTGGCGTAGAGCTGGGAGTCCATCCTCTCGGCAGGCTGCACGTCCAGATGGATGTGCCAGGTGAGGACTCTGCACAGCGCGGTGTTGTTGTCACTATGGAGGTAGTGGAGAAGGTAGTTGTAGCTGTCTTCTGACAGACGAACCACGTACTTACTGTCCAGGAAGGCCCGCAGCTGGAAGTTAGACATGATGTCTTGGCTGGTCTGGGTGGTCTGGAGCTGCTCGATGACGTCCTTCTGGCTGGCGTTCTGGAGAAACATTCCATGGAAGTGGTTGTAAAAGCTTTCCGCTGTGGTCTTTGGACCGTTCTGGACCAGGTCAAGATGGAGGTAGACAAAGAAAGGGTAGAGGAGAGGCGTCACTTCGTGGCTATGCTGGGAGTCAGAGTCCATGAGAAAATCCCGCAGCCGTCCGAACTGTGCTTCATATTGCTGGGGGTCTGCCTGGCCAGGGGCTGCAGACACTGTGTTGGCACAACCAGATTCTGACTGGACTGCGAGGCTGGTAGCCATATCCTGGATGTTCTGTGACAGTCGCCGGATTTTCTTCGGTGGGCCATCGTTGCCCCAGTACTGCCGGCGTTTGAGGTAGCCCGACACGGCTGTCTGCATCTGGTCGGTGGGTAACCGTTCCATGACTGAAGATCCCAGGCGGCTTCTGCTTCCTGTGCCGGCCTCTGCCGCCAGGGTCACACCGCAACCGCTTCCGTCTCCGCTGAGAAAGGCTCGCTTGCCACTGGCTCTCTCCCGGCAGGCAGCCACCCCTCAACCAACCGACGCCACCCTGCCCCGCCCCCACCCCACGCCCCCCCGCCCTACCCATCCCTCTCCTCCCCCACACCCCTATCCGCACGTGGTGGCTCTGGGCAGCCGCCCCCTAACTGACTAATGCGCAGAGCCGTCGCGGGCTGGGCCGGCCGCTGGTGCCCAAAAGTCTGTTGTGGTTTTTATGTATAATTTATGTATTTATTTCAATTGGAGGATAATTACTTTACAATATTGTGATAGTTTGTGCCATACATCGACATGAATCAGCGACAGGTACACATGTGTCCCGCCATCCAGAACCGCCACCCCACCCCCCACCTCCCTTCCCACCCTATTCCTCCGGGTTGTCCCAGAGCATCAGTTCTGAGTGCCCTGCTTCATGCACCGAACTTGCACTGGTCATCTGTTTTACATATGGTAATATACAGGTTTCAGTGCTATTCTCTCGAATCATCCCACCCTCGCCTCCTCCCACAGAATCCAAAAGTCTGTTCTTTCCATCTGTCTCTTTTGCTGCCCTGCATATAGGATCGTCATTACCATCTTTCTAAATTCCCTATATATGTGCTAATATATAGTATTTGTGTTTCTCCTTCTGACTTACTTCACTCTGTACAATAGGCTCTCTTTGATCCACCTCATTAGAACAGATTCAAATGTGTTCATTTTTTTTAATGTGTTCGTTTTTATAGCTGAGTAATGTTCCATTGTGTACATGTACCACAACTTCCTGATCCATTCCTCTGCTGAAGGATATCTAGGGTGCTTCCATGTCCTAGCTATTGTAAATGTTCATTGCAAAAGTCTGTTGTTTATGTCTGTGTCTCCTTTCTTGCCCTGTGCTGCTTAACTTCTTAACTTCAAAATCTCATGGGGCTTTCTCTGGTGGCCAACCCCAGCCTGGAAGTGCTGGGGAAAGAAATAATGGGAAACAGTACAAACACACCACAAATATCCTGCTTGCTGAAGTAGGAGTAAATACTCTTGGGTAAGCATTTCCCACCATGAAATGAGTGGATGACAGTATGGGAGGCTGGCAATAGCCTTGGGATTGTGGATGTTAGAGAATGTAATTCCAGAGGATGATAAATAAAGACAAAAGGCCACTGGGGGTCTCTCTCAGGGAACTCTCTGTCTGAGGCTCTAGCCTGTGGAAGAGGCCATGGGCATCTTGCTTAAGCTGGCAGCTAGAACTGTGATTGGAACTAAACAACAGTGAGGGCTGGAAGCTAGGTCCTTAAACATTATGATATTTGACTCTACCTTATAATTGTGGGAGTGTAAAAATCTGTTTGAAAGACTAAGTAAGCTGGAGATTGATAGGTTAACAAATCAGAAGAAAATGACATAATACTTTTTTAATAGAATCACAAAAGGCATTTGATAAATGAAACATATATTCATGATTTTAAATAAACTATTAATAAAATAGGAATTGATTAATTTACTTTCTTACCATGATGGAATTTAACAAAAAGTCACTATTACAATTTATGGAAAAATGGTAGAAGCTTTTCTCATTAAAATCAGGACAAAGGATAGTTTTTATTACCATTGTTATTATTATTTTAAAATTTTTAGCCAAAACAATTAGACTAGAGAAATAAAAGGCATAAAAATTGGGAAGAATGAGGTAAAGTTATTATTTCTTATGGATAAAATTATATGTATAATTTTATATATTTATTGTATATATAATAATATATATTATTGCTAGAAAACCCAACAGCATGAACTAAAAAACTGTTACAAATGATCTGGAATTTTAGTACATTTCTGGTGGTAAAATCAAATATAGACAGCAGTAGTTTTCATATAAATAAAACAATAACCAATTACAAGACCAACTGAAGATGCTACCTGGGCAGTTGTAATGTGAATTATATATTCTGCAAAGGTGAAGATATCTTGTGTCTTACCATTTATAGAAAAGGTTTGCTGACTCCTATTCTAGATCACAAGAAAGAACTAGAAAGCAGAATACCTGATACAATACTAAACAATCTTTGCCCTCATGGAGCATATATACCAGTGGATTCTAGAAAATGAGAGCTACCTATTAGAGGAAAAAAATCTAAAATCCTAGGGGACTTCCCTGGTGGTCCATTGGTTAAGATTCCAGACTTTCACTGCAGGAAGTGTGGGTTCAATCCTTGGTGGGGGCACTAAGATCCCACGTGCTGTACATAGCTACCAGGAAAATATATATATATATATATATATATATGTATATATTTTAAAAATCGAAAATCCTAAATACCTTTACCAAGTCTATGAAACCTAAAACAAAATTACTTTATTAAAGGTATTCTAAGTACTTACCTCTTTGCAGAGAAAAAGTAGCTTTCTAGTTCCTTTCAGTCCTTAAGGAAATGCTACCTCTCCATGATTAATCTCTGTGTGAAATAACTAAATTACTTCCTATCAAATGGCGATTTCCATTAATGCTATTTATCTGCTAATCTCTTATGTTGATTTCAGTAATACATCCTGAATTTCAAGTTTATCACCTATTAACTTTAAAAAATGTAATTCTAGCTTATGTCTTTGGTGTCCTTTCCTCCATGAAACAAAAAAGGCACTTAAAATGTGCATGATGAAAAAAAAATATGATGTTTATAGTAACATAATTTAAATAATTCTTCCATTTTGATCTCAACAAATTGGATTTAATCTGTGAGCAAGGTTTCTCAGTCTTAGTACCATTGGCATGCCAGTGTGGGGCCTGTCCTGTGCATTATAGGATATTTAGCAGCATCCCTAGCCTTGACCCACTAGATACTGGTAGTGCCATCCAGTGAAGATATACAAAAATCTCTGCAGAAATTGCCAGATATCCTCTGGACAAAAAAAATCCCAATTAAATTCAGCCTCTCATGTTTTCTTATTACTTTGTTATCTTCATGGTTTTTTCAAAGACTCGATCATAGCCTTTGGTACTAAGTACTACCAGGAAAATAATTTGACTTCTTAAGTCATATATATATACACTTAAGTATAGTTTGAAAGATTGCCCAGAAAAAAAACTTTTTCACTAGTTATTTTCAAACCACATCATTTTGTAGAAGTAACCAAAGACAAGATTATAGCTTTGACTGACAAATGCAAGCTAAGTAAGTTGTTTTATTAATACTGATGTTGTCAACCTAAAGAAAATTCTTTGTTTGAGAGCATCATCCTAAAGCTATTTTCTGTTAAAATAACTATAGTGGAAAATTATTTCCTGAGTTGGTGGCATAAGGACCTCTGAAAAATCACTCTTGCATAAGAGGCTTGAACAACACTGTAAACCAACTAGATCTATCATACATCTATAGAACACTCTACCCAACGAGAGCAAAATACACATTCATGTCAAGTGCACATGGAAAGTTTAAGATAGGCCTTTAAGATAGGCCATACACTGGACTGCAAAAACACATTTCCATGCATGTAAAAGAATTGAAAGTGATACAAAGTGTATTCATCAACCACAATGGAAAAAAATTAGAAATCAATAGCAGAAGAACATTTAGGAGATTCACAAATATGTGGAAATTAAACAGTGTACTCCTAAATAACCAATAGTCAAAGAAAAAAATCATAATGGAGATTAGAAAATAAATGAAAATATATATCAAACATATGAGATGTAGCTAAAGTAGTACTCAAGAGGAAAGGAAAGAAGATCTCAATGACCTAATATTCAATCTTAGGAAATTAGCGAAAGAATAGCAAACTAAACCCAAAGCAAGCAGAAGGAAGGAAATAATGAAAATTAGAGCAGGAATAAATGAAACAAAATAGAAAAATAGTAAAGAAAATTGATGAAACCAAATGTAGATCATTTGCAAAGATCAACAAAAATTGACAAACTTTTGGCTATACTGACCTAGAAAAGAACACTCAACTAAAATCAAGAATCAAAGAGGAGACTTTATTACCAACTTTGCAGGAGTAAAAAGGGTTATAAGGGAATTCTATGAGATATTATAGGGCTTCCTGGTGACTCAGATAGTAAAGAATCTGCCTGCAATGTGGGAGACCCAGATTCAACCCCTGGGTGGGGGAAGATACCCTGGAGAAGGGAATGGCTACTCACTCCAGTATTCTTGAGGCTTTTCTGGTGGCTCAGATGGTAAAGAATCTGCCTGCAATGCAAGAGACCCAGCTTTGGTCCCCTGGAGAAGGAAATGGCAACCACTTCAGTATTCTTGCCTGGAGAATTCCATGGACGGGGGTACCTGGAGGGCTACAGTCCATGGGGTTGCAAAGAGTTAGACACAACTAAGTGACTAACACTTTCACATGAGATATTATATGCCAACATATTAGATGGCCTAGATAAAATGGACAAATTCTAGAAAGATACAAATGACCAAAACTGACTTCAGAAGCAATGGAAAATTTTAGTAGACTTCTAACAAGAGATTGAAATAGTAGTCATAAACTTTTTAGAAAGAAAATCTCAAGCTCAGTTTTCACTGGTGAATACTACCAAACATTTAAAGAAAAATTCAAGCCAATCCTTCACCAATTTTTTAACAAAATAGAAGTTTGAACACAACTCATTCTATGAGGCTTTGATACCAGTATTAGATGAATAGTATCAGAATAAAAGAAAACTTCAGGCCAATAGCCCAAATGTAATAGATGTAAAAATCTCCACAAAATACTAGCAAACTAACTCCAGCAACATATTAAAAGGATTATATACCATGACCAAGTGTAATCTATTGCAGGGGTAAAAGCTTGGTTTAACATGTGAAAATCAATTTAATAGATTACATCAATAGAATAAAGGACAGTAACCACATGATCATCTCAATAGATGCTGATGAAGCATTTGACAAAATCCAACACTTCCATAATAAAAATGCTCAGAAACT